TAATGCAAAATGTTATAACCACTGAAAAACATTATGATGGTTCTCCAAAGAGTTAAAAGTAGAATTACAATATGATCCAGCAATTTCACTTTTGGATATATACTCAACAAATTGAAAGCACGGTTTTGAAGACATGTTTGTACACCCATGTTCATAGTAGCCAAAAGCTAAAACATGCATGTGACCCAGGTATGAATGAATGAATGATTAAACAAACTGGGGCATATGCCTAAAATAGAATGTTATTCAAACTTAAAAAGAAGGAGATACTGACATATACTTTGACATGACTAAACTTTGAGGATATTGATGCTAAGTGAAACAAGCCAATCATAAAATGACTAATACTGTATGATTCTACTTATATAAGGAACTTAGAGTTGTCAAAATCATAGAGACAGAAAGTAGAATGGTGGTGGTGGTTGCCAGGGGCTGGGGGAAGAGAGGAATGGGGAATTATTATTTAATGGGTATAGAGCTTCAGTTTTATAAGATGAAAAGATTTCTGGTGATGGATGGTAGTAATGGCTGTACAATAATATGAATGTACTTAATACCATTGAACTGTACATCTAAAAATGGTTAAGATAGTAAATTTTATGTATATTTTATCACAATAAAAACTGGAAAACCCTTTCTTTCTTTCTTTCTTTTTTTTTGTCTACTAGCAACTGATTTATCTCTTGCTTTGACATCTCACCTACTTTTTCCCAAAGAAATCATCTCCACCTACTACTTCCTGTCAGTCTTTCATTTTCATTCTTGCCCTCTGCAATCTGGCATCTGCTGGACCAATCAGTTAAAAGTGTTCTTGTTGAGATCACTGAGGACTTCTTACATGCTAAATCCCATACATGCTTTCCAGGGTCTGCCTTTCAGAATTTCTCTGCCTTTCAGAATTTCTTTGCTGCACTTAACACAATGGCTTATTTGCTTCTGCCTGAAATGCTCTATTTCCTTGGGTTTTGGGACTCCATGTTCTTCCCTCCCTTCTTGTTCCTTTTTGACCACTTGTGCTTAGTTACCTTTGGAGACTCCACCCACACTGCCCCTCAGGTTGGTATGGCCCAGAGTTCCAACCTTTTCTAAATTTTTTTCTTCCTAGAAAAGTTTTTCCTAGGAAATATCATGGTTTGAGTTTAGTAACTGCCTTTATGTTACCAACTCCCAGATCTTTTACTTTAGTCAAGACTTTCCCAGTGAGATTCAGACTTATATTGCCAATTTTTGTCTGGACGTTTTCATTGGTTGTTCCACGGACATCTCAAATTTCTGTGGCACATGACCAAAGTGAAACTCGTCATTTCCTCCCAACTACCAGTCTATCCTGTTCCTCCTTTGTATCTTTATTTTACCTGGTAGCACCACTTTTTACTCTTCTTGCTCCCAACCATCCTTCCCTGATCATATTTTGAGCTATGATTTCCTTACTCAATTCAGTCCTGCTTGCATTTTGTCTCTATTCATTTCTCTTAGATTTTTGGTTTAAGAATGATACCTCTTCTTGTTTACCCATATAATTTTGGTTTGTAAAAAATTTAAGTACATTTTCTCTCATGACAAAGGATTTGAGGTGTGAGTAGAAGGCTGTGGTGTGAACACAGTACATCATCTTTAACTGAAGTCAATGGTATTATATTTTGCTGTAACTGAATTTTGTAATATGATAAACAAATTCACATTCAAAATAAAGGAATAATTTTTTTGGTTGACATAGGGTGACATCTCAAAGTTTTAAAGTATTTTATCACTATTTTTATTTGGATTGCTAGTTAATATTGTTATAAAAATGGAGGTCCTAAGATTTAGAGGCAGGTAGTTTCTAGGTAAGTACCAAAAAGCATTTTTATGAAATCCATACTTGTAGTTGTAGAAAGACTGTATAGAGATGATGGTCAAGGTTATATTTAACTCACACTAATGTATTTCCTTGGAAAAGCTGAAAAATCTGCATCTTGGTGATGTTGTGCCTTCTGGGCAGGATGGCTGATGATTTGATTGCTAAATCAGAATGTATTTAACTTGAAAATTAAAAACACACAGATAGTGGTGCACACACCCTCCTCTACACACATGTACGTGCACACACACGTACACAAGACTACACACTTTCCCACTGCCATATCTATCTGGAAGAATGTCCACAAAGATCCCCCAAAATGTGATATTTACAAATCTGGTACAATATTACAGCCAGCCAGCTACCAGCGTTGGCACTAGATTGTAATCTTGTACTTAGTTGTGCTACCACTCCTTCATAATAAAATAGCAAATTGAAGTGCTTTTCAAATGGTGTGGGAGAGCAAAGAGAAATCTTTTCTGCCTCCAGTAAGCACACAATCCTATTAATGATTCATGGTGACTCCTCTACTACATAGTGCATTTAGCTTCTTCTTTTTTCCTGTGCTTACAGAGCTTTGATTATCAAATTATAAAGCAACAGTATGAAAATGACTTTGCTTTTGAGA